GCAGATCTTGAAAGTTGATTTTTTTACAAGCAAAATTCACATACATGGGATATTTTAAAATCTGAAGTGAGTTAAGATTTTTATATATAAATATATACACAGTAAATTCAGAAATTTCTGTGTGCATTTATTATTGCCAGTCAAAATTTCTGAATATTCAGAACTAGTATTAAGATTTTGTTAAAAATGAAACTGTTTAAAGTGATTTAATTTACATATGAAATATTGTTGCTTGCTACTCTGTAATTAAAAGTAATTTATGGAAATGGATTTGTTCACCTCAATTTCATTTTATATGATACTGTAATTGACCATGGATGGGTAGGGGGCATACTAACACCTAGCTGTTAATTTCCTCAACAATTTATCAAAAATTGTTGAATAATTTATTAGGTTGATTTCATTTCAAGTGGCACACTCAGTAACCTTACACTGAATCTATATCTGCTAACAGATTTTATAATTGTGTTATCTAAAGAGGTGCCTCTTAATTACGGTGCCCTTGCCTGTTGGTAGCTAAATTTCAGCGCCTATACCTAATATACACTCTTTTTAAGTGGCACTGGTTCAAATGCCTCCTCCCCTCCCCACTTTTCATTTTGGCAACCGGCAGTTTGCAGAACATTCTTTTTTTTTTATTTATGTTTATCAGACCCTGTCCTGAATATGCATGAAACATTTGCCACTTGATATTAAGCAAACAACAATCAATCAATCAAACTTTTAAAATGTTGCTAACAGTTGTTTAACTTTTTATAATTTCGATTACTCCTTTCTGTGGAGCACCACCATTGTTGATTTCATGATATTTCCTGTTTTGTTGATTTTATTTTTCCAATTTGATATTTTTATTCCTATAAAATTCATAAAATTCCTATAATCCTCTGGCCTTGCATCAGTGGTGATGGTAACCAGAAAATAAAGGAACTTAAATACCAGATAATACAGCAGGGTGTCTCGTTTTGGCGTGTGACACATGGTATTTAATGGGATTATGGGTAATTACAGTAACAGACCCTCAAAAGCATGAAGAGATTTCTCACTGATTGGAGGGGTGAACATTCATTGATCATAACATGCTTTATCTGTTCTTAACATGTGTTTTGATTGTATTTCAAGCACCTTGAGTTAAATTAGATGAATAGTTGAAGAAGAGGTTATGTACTATATTTTTGGATAAAAATCTTTTATGGATGATTATATTTTGAAAGTTAATTGTACCGTTATTTTTTAAAGGCGACCTGTCAAATTCCCCGTGATTATTGTCTTATTTGGAGACACCCAAACATTTCTCCATCCCAACTATCCTTTAATCATCCCCAAAAAGTAAAATTAAAAATAGCATACTAAACTTTTAAACATTTGTTTTAGTTTTACGGATTTTCAGGTTAGCTTTTAGTTTTTGTCTAACCATTATTGTCGCACAATTTTACCCACTCGAAATCTGGAATTCCTATAATTTCATTATTTTGTGTAAGATGTATACATTTCCTGTCTAGATATACCAATAGAGATACACAGCCTATTAATTCTGAAGATACTGGGATGAGAAATCCATCAAAAAGATGTAACTGTTAGACGAGGCTCACCAGGGGTTAAAATAGGGCTCATTATATGTTTAATGGTTGCCTGTTCTTAGTTAGGTTGAAATGTCTGTGACCATTCTCTTATTTAAAATGAAAAGTTGACTTTTATATGGACAATTTAGAACAAGGTCTTCTTTAGAGGGTATCCTTGCTTCCTTCATTAATAAAAACTGGCCGCCATGAAATAGCCAATAGTGACAAAAGTGACATTAAACACCCACAATAAACCAATCTTTAGGAGGTTCAACCTCATGCACTTGTTTAGGAAATATTTAGAATTTTTGAGGTAATTAACATTGGATTGATGTGGAAATTAAACAGGAATAAACTTGTTGCCCTCTTTAATGATGAGCAGCCACTAGAAACAATGCTGCAGTAGTACCAGATTATATGAAACATGTGCGATTAATTAGTTGATCAATCATACATAGTATCTTCATGCTGTGTGTCTAGTGTGTTTATATCATAGAGTTTATAGCAGGAGAAACGTTTTTGAAGTCACTCCTCAGATGACCTGTTCTGATCATGTATATCTTCTGTAAAATATATGTTTACTCTGGTACCTTCAATAATTAGGATGCAACCAGTTATCTTTCTGTTGTGGAATTCCTGGTGAAAGTGTTTGCTTACTTTAGTTGGAGGATAGATGTTGATTGAATTCTTCAGTGTTTTTGGATCAGAGATTATTTTCTCAAGGAAAAATATGTAATTTTTTGAATATGATGGAATGTAATGATTCATTTTAATTCAGAGATAAAATGATTTTTTTATTGTAACTTTTCTGAAGGAGTATATAGTCAACGTTTATTAATGTTTCGGATGTAAATAGTTTTTTGGAGCATCATATGTTGTGAATTAGTGGAATATATATCAGAATGTCCACCTGTACAGTCTATATTCCACCAGGTAAAACAAATCTTGTAGAATTGACTTTTGATACTTATACATGTTATATCCAGGATAATAGTAAGATTTTACCAGTGCTGTCTCATGCATTATTTGGTGGCATTTTTCTTTGATCTATTGTTGTCTCTCTTTGATGTTTGCCAAATCTCACGCATTTGGGTCATGAAAACTTGACAGCCCTGTTTTATTACTGTAAGTTCAGAAATTATTGGATTTATTTATTTATTATGATAGTTGATCAGCAGACAAAAATAAGGAAATAATTGATGAAAAGTGCTTAGAATTGGAGTCAATTAAATGATAAATAGAATTTCCGTCACTTGTCACTTAAAAATTTCCAAATTTGTAGTACATATACATCATGGAAGCTTATTTGATTATCACATATGTCTTTTTATTCTGATTTCCTGCATATTATTTTGAATATGAAAACTTAAGGCCAAGCAATTGAAATAACTGATGGATTATGTGTGATTAAATAACTGATGGATTATATGAGTAGAATGATAGAAACTTGGAACTGGTTTAGATTTCTTGAGACAAGATAGGAACTGGTTTAGATTTCTTGAGACAAGATAGTCTGAATGAGCTTTGATGAGTTCTATTTGAGATTGATTGATATGATCATGTATGATAGTCTGAATGAGCTTTATTGAGTTCTATTTAAGATTGATTGATATGATACATGTATGATAGTCTGAATGAGCTTTGATGAGTTCTATTTGAGATTTATTGATATGATACATGTATGAGTTATCTTCACTTTGCATCATGATGTGCTAACGAGTGGTGTGCAAAAAATGTCATATTTCTTCAAACAAAAAGATCTTATGTGCAAAAAATGTGGCTATTTTAAGCCTATGTTTCAACGAAGCTATGAGTGTTCTCTCAGAAAGCAATTACAATGAGTGAGTGCCAAAGCTAGTTAATTGATAATTTTGGCACAGAATCGTCAGTATGATTACACATATAAGTGTTGTTATTTGTGTGTCGTCTGTTAATTATAGATATTAATTAACTTTACATAATGTTTTAATATTGTCTAAATGATGTAGTCTCACTGGGGGAAGTGGAAAGTTTCAGTGGTTGGCTTTATTCAAATAGTGTCTGTTTAGTCGATAAGTGACTACATGAACATGTAGGAAGTATTTAGATTGTATGTGCTTTTAAAGAACTATAACTCTTGGACTACCATTAACAAGCTAAGTTCCCTTTATCTATTATTATTTTTTAAAAAATGTCATAGTTTTTATTATTATTTTTAAAAAAATGTCATAGTTTTTACCCCAATTTTAGAAAATTCTAATCCGTAAAATTAGTTTTGCCTTCAACATGTTCAATTTAAAGCCTAATAAGCTTTTTCTTAACTTTTCTCTGGTCTTATACACCCACATTATTTGGTCTGTAGAAGATGTTTTATTTCCATTAAATGGGCTCACAAGGAGCATAAAACAATATAAGACATTAATAAGACAATAACAAAAAGAAACAATAGTCTAGTATACATACAAAGAAAAGAAAAGGCAGTTTGAACATCATGAACTATCATCATCCATATATCTGTTTTGTATCTTGATTTTCTAGTTGGGTTAATGTCCTCTGTACAAGTATTATATCTATTGATAATACAATACACGAGGGTCGGGATGGAGGGTCCTTCATTTCTGTATTCTTTAATGTTTTAGGCCATTTTTCTCTATTCTTTATACTTTTTGCCCATTATTCTCTATTCCGTAAACTCCCATCCACACCCTCATACACATGTAGCCTAGCTATGTTAAAACTGAAGTTGCTTGAAGCCTCTGTCATCTTTTGATGAACCCTCCTAAGATATACATCACCATCAATGTGTATTCAGCCTCTAGCAGATATTTACGGATTTATGACATGATAAATGAATTTTTATGATTAAATCTGTTGCAAGTAAATTGTTTACACCTTAATTTATGTATTGCTTTTGTAAAATTGTCATGAATTTGGCCTTGCGATAGTTTGGTGTATTCATTGTGGCATTTGCTAAAATGTAGACAGGACCCTCTGTATGGAATGAAAAAGGGGACATACTTATATATGGACTGGTATTTTGGAATGGACTGTGAACAGAGTTGCAATATTATCAAAAAGTATTTTATGCAAGTAAAAATTGTAATAATTTTTGAGAATAGATAAACGATTTGGTTGAAAAATTTCAAAAAAATGATAGATATTTTAAACAGGTAGATATGCAAGTTCACAAAAATCAGATACCTTTAAGTTTTACCATTCACATTTTTTGCCATGCTAGTATTATTTTGTTGATTAAAATTGCATTCAGTTTGACAATTTCACTGATGAAAATTATGCATTTTATGAAACCATCAGAGATAATTGCATTAAGTTTGACAATTTCACTGATGAAAGTTATAAATTTTATAAGACAGTGAATGATTAACTGAATACAATTTCCTTTTTACCTATTCAGATGCATGTTTTTTTATTTTGTATTCTGTAGTAGCTACTAATTTTCAGATGTGCGAGACACGGGCATGTCCCCTATTGCCACATCACGAATTTCATACGGACATGCTGAGGGCCCAGTCGATGGCAGCTTATATGCAACAGTTCATAAACGACAGCATGAATTTGTCGATAACTCAACCATTTTACAAAATGGCAACACACAGTTTCAAAATGGCTCACAGGCTTCAAGCGTGGACTCTGGTATTTCAGCCTCCTCTGGTATTAATTTTATTCCCTGCATGTTTGTTTTTAACAATGAACCAATGTCTTGAATACATTTCACAAGTGTTTATTTCTGTAACAGTAACATGAGTAAGGAGTAAGGGTACTGAACACATATTTTTTAATTGAGTTGCAGTATTTTAAAGGAGAAAAGCTTTTGTCAAGAAACATTTAACCATTTTTTTCAAGTCAATGTTTAGAAGATTTTGCTGGAAACTGATTTTATTTCTTAAAAACAAGACATTGGTTTATTATTTTGTTTTATTTTTATTACCACAATTTACAATACATATCATCCTCATCATCATCAATAAATGCATTTTTGAAAATGTTACTTTTCCTGCCTAAGGTTGTGAGAGAAGTTGGTGGTTTTCTCCGGGTATTACAGCTTTCTCCATCAATAGAAACTGGTCGCCATGAAATAGCCAAGAGTGCTAAAAGTGGCTTTTAACACCTACAATCAATCAATGTTTTACATTTTGAGGTCCTTAACTCCTTAATAGCCTACAAAACTCACAATAACATTGACATGAAACAAGGTCATGTTTCATAAAGAAGACAAGCATACAAGTTTCTTTGTGAAAGAGGAAACAGAAAATTTTTTATGATTGGCCTTTGGTGAAATTTCCTATATTTTATAAGAGTTTAAATAAGTATTTTTATGGTGTTTTAAATTAACACAGACTGAATTTCATATCTTCATAAATCCTAATTGTATCCATACTTTTCCCAAGGAGGTGGTTCTATTTTATGAACCCTACATAGAAATTCCCACATTTACATCTCAAAAGGCCTGAAGAACTAATATTTAAATGTTTCATTTTATACCTCTCTTTCAGGGTTAGTTGGAAACACAAGCACGAGCCAATACAGCACACATGCACGTACTAGTGAACCAGTCCAGCAACAGGGATACAGTACAAGTAACAACACAATGAAATCGAGCTATAGTTCTCAAAGTACCCTGCCGAAAAAGGCAGCAACTGTTGATGAACAGAAGGAACTAGATATGATTCTTAGTGATTTGTTAAATGACCAAGTTTTTGTTACTAGCCCTAAAAGTCCCCCTAAAAGTAGCCATTCTTCATCTAATGATACACGAACATTTAGGACATACGATACTGAAAGAGGGCCAGATGGGAAACTAACATATCGTACCGCAGAGGTGAATTATAAAGTGCCAGAACAACAAAGTTATTCCTATTCAACTAGAACTTTTAGCGATGATAGCAAAACATATGTGCCTCCAAATGCCTTCAGCTATACTCCTGCGTCACCCGAGTTAGCTCGACGAACGGAAACAACTAAAACTACAACATTACCTTATAGTGTACGGACTGATTATGAACATCAGAATGGTGACCAATTCTCATACTCACGGTCTGACTCAGATAACTCGTCGTGGTTACAGCAACAACAACAGAAGTTACGGGAACGGAAAGATAGTAAGTCAGAAGAGAGACAACAACAGGAGAAACAATTAGTAGACGAATTACGATCGGCACAGAATAAATATTTTACGAAACGTGCTCAAAATGAGGCTGATGAACAAGCTGTAATGACCTCGTTTCAACAAAACATGTCACCACCCCCAACTATGAGTAATGGACCCACAACGGGAAATTACTCATACTCCATGAAAAAGACTCATACTTTTTCGACAGATAAATCTCCGGAGCCAGTGAGAACGTACCCTACAGGTGATTCTTCCTATACATCTACAAGCTACAGAACTGAATCTAACAAACCGCCCCCATCACCGGGGCAAACCAGGACAAATATTCAAATAAATATGCCTGTTTCACCCCCACTTAGGAGTAGTAGCAAAGATTACATGCAACGGTCAAGAACAAGTAGTTCAAGCAATTCATGGCAGTCAACTCAGGGTCAAAATTCATATCGTCAAAATTCTGACTCAACTTTCGATAGGCAGTCTGAAGTCATACTGCCGCCAGTAGTCAAAACTATCACCATAACAACCCCTCCCCTATCAAGGCGTAGCTTCTCGCCAACCAACCAACAGAATGTCCAAAAGACATCTAATTACGAAATTCGTCAAACCGTAAGGGATCAGTCACCTGATTTCAGTAAGAGCCTTCCAAGATATTCTCCAACAAAAACCAAAGTGACGGAAATTCAGGAAACAAATTTCCCAGAAGGAGATAAGAAATCTCATTACATCACAGAAGTTTATGTCCATAGAACTGCTGGAGATACCCCAGAGTCAGGTACGTTAAGACCTGAGAAATCATGCACTTTAGAGATACATGTTATTTTTTATAGAATATTTATGTTACTTTTTATGTAATTTTGCATTCAATCTTTTTGACACTTTGTTGAATGACTATTTAAAAATATTTTCTAGCTTTTGCTGCTTTTTATATATATTAATAACGTTTTTACTATATATTTTTTTTCATTACACAAAATTAGAAAATAAGATATAAAAATAAAGAAAAAAACTCTTATTGAGGATTTAATTAGTTTATTTGAAATTAGTTCTTTTTATCATCAAATGAATTTTTTTATCTTTTATCCTGAAAAATTAGGCAACAGAAAAAATTTAAACAAGTCAAAATAGCATTTCTAGCCTTATGCCTTTAGTCTGCTTCATTTAGATGTTGATCTGTATCTCTCAAGTGTTTAACTGTTACCCTCCTCTTCCAATGTTGTGGACTGTACTATAAATAGACTGCAATCCTTTATCTAGACTTGTTCTAAAAATAGAATGCATTTTTTGGAATGTCCGCTGCGAATGAGCCGAAATTTTGCGATTTTGAAAACTGCCATGATTTGTTGTTTAGAGCTTCTACTCACAGAATGAAGTATGGGAGATAACTCTCTCTCTCTAACAGTTGAATGGGAGATAACTCCATAATGTGTCTTGATTTGCTTTTTGGAATGGAATGTGTTTTAATTTGATTAAAAGACAATGACATAATTTTCAGATTCTTTAATTTAAAAAAAATCTCAAGATACAAAACTTGCAACCTAATAAGCTCCAGAGATTTATTTTATTCAAAAGAAGAATCTGAATATTATTAATGTCTTTTAGAATTTTTTTTTAAACTGTCTGTTTTCTTTACAGTTTTGTTGGTGTAGGACTTGATTTTGTTAAGCATGAAAAAATTATTCTTTGAAGTATAATTATTTATTTATTATATTATGTTTTTTTTTCTCTTCAGATTGTTAATATATTTTACTTGCATGAATGTTTTAACAGTCTTGATTCATTCAGTTTTGAAATTCCAAACAAAGATTTTTTTGTTATAATTTATTTTCTTTCTGTTTATATACCATATTTACATAATTTGAATGAATCAAATGCAAAAAGCTTCAATTTGCATGAAATTTCTTTTTATCACTTTGCTTTTTGTGCTTGAAGCACTTAAATTGTTAATTTTCACTTTCTATGATATATTCTGACACTGTTATAATATTTCACAATTTTAAATATATTTATTTCACTGCTATGAAAATGTGCAAAATTGAATCCAAGGATTTCTTCAACACATTGAAATGAATTTCTACATTAGCCTTAAGCTTGCTAGTTTATCGGATTCACAATTTTTTGAATTTCCTTAAAGTTGCTTAGTTAATTTATACATAGACAATGTAAGTATTGTGTAAAATATGATTTAGTTCTATAGTAAGGGTTAAAGTTTATAAAATAATCGATATCTTCTATCATCGATTTTTTTTTTTGGCAAATTGATTCAAATTCTTCAAATTCAAATGATACATTGAAAAATAAAGTTTTTATGTAGATTTTGATACAATTGTACTGGAATATTTTTATTGTCATTTTGTCCATTTCTTTTTCAGTCCAACATCATCGAACAAAATCAGTCGAAAGAACGGAAAAAACAGAAGTCGACAAAACAAGGTCATTGGATGAACTTGAAAAATCTTTACAAGCTGCATCCAATTCAATAATCGCAACACAGCCAACATGGCAAGTTCAAAACCAACAACAACAACAACAGCAAACAGGAAACCAGGGATTCCAAAAAATAGAGCAAACCCAGAGAGTGACACGAAAATATGAAACCAGAACATTTGAAACCCATAATCAAGAGAAACAGGAAAGAGTGAGTAACGAGGAACCACGAAGCATGTCACCAACATGGGATAATGTTTCCCCGCATGTAACCATAGATGTATGTATTATCGTATTTATTTTCATTTTAATCATATCACAAAGACTGATCTCAATAATATCGGAAAAGTTTCTGAATATCTCTTAAACAAAATCATATTGAAAAGACCAACTGAAACAAAAAATTACCCTGTCATTTCTTGAGGTGACCCCAAATGCTAGAAAATTTACCATGTTAATTTTTTGGGTGACCCACATGCAGGAAAATTTACCCTGTCAATTATTTCGGTAAGCCCACAGAGTATTTTTATCTAGTGTATAGACAATAAGCTTAAATGATTTGCACTGGTTGATACATAAACTACTGATACAAGTTAATCACTGAGGCCAAGAAATTGTTATGAAAAAAAGTGTTTCTTATACAATACCAAATTCAAAACCTAATCAAATGAAAGTATAGATTGAAATATTGTTGTATATTTCTGGCTGAACAGACAAAGGGAGATAACTAAATTATTAACTATGGTAACAAGTCTTTGTGATATGTCTTTAAACTATTCAAAATATTCACATTAGCTGTTAAAAGTGCATTTAACTGATCAGTGTAAGTTAAAATAGAAATCCTTACCTTTAAACAAAAAAATGGAAAAAGAATTTGACAAATGATGAAAAACAGCTGATCGGATATTATGAGTAGTTTATTCTTTTTATCATTTCATTTTATTAATATCCCAATTTATTTCAGAATTGGTAATATTTTTTATTTCAAAATTATAATTAGATGTTGTAACTTATTTGCATCTGTAGTATTTATTTAAACCCCTTTATATATTAGTTGTAACTTTATATTTCTACAGTGTCTTATAATGTTCATTATTATTTTTTTTTCTAATTGGAAAACTGCAGTACTATAGTATCTAGGCAAGTTGAAAGAATGAAATCTTTCCTTAGGGCATTGTATATTAGTGCTAGGTTGCAAGCTAATGAATGATTTCAGAAAATTTTATCGAAATATTTTTTGCGAGTTATTTTGGATATTTACAATAATTTTTGTTAATTTACAACTTACAGCCTATTCTAATACATTAATTAGTTTACAATTTTACAATGAAATATTCTTTTACAACTTAAGACTGAAATCCAGGATTCAGAATTGGATGCAGAAGTTTTGTTTCTTATGAGCAAATATTCTGAGGATGAGGTAGAGATTAGCATGGAAATTAATTCTAAAGATTATGGCATTAAAATTTTATAATTTGATATTTAAAACTTACAGAATTTAATCTGATGGTCCTCTCTTTTATTGTATTTCTTTGATTATTGATTCTGATGAGTTGTCTTTCCAAACTTTGAGATGGTGACACCCTCATGCAACCAGCAGATAATAAAGGCTATAAAACGAAGGTCACCAACTGCAAACTTTGATTTGTAACTTTAATTTGAGATTGTTGAAAATACATAAAAAATTGTAAACTTTGGCAACTTACAAAAGCTTGCTGTGTTATTCAAATTATTACACTTAAAAATATTCTTATTCTGAACAATTTTGTTCCCTTGAAAATTATTAAAATTATAAAAACAGCCTTCATTTAAAAAATGAAATTGTGAAATAACAATGAATGGTTAGACATTTTTTTATCTAAATTTGCAAATAACATTGTGAACCAACCTGATATGTTATGCTCTTGAAATGATTTAAACAGATTGAAATAGAGGAAAGGGAAGCAACTCACTGTTAGGGTAGACAACTCAAATTCTTATTGTCTTTTTCAATTCAAATAAAAAAAAATAGAGCATGGATTCTGTTTTATATTTAAAACATACTTTATTTGTAAGTCAGAGAGCAACTTCTGGTCAATAAATATTGTTACCAGAAGTATTTCATACATCATATGCATAATAAGCTTCATCGGACATTATTATGTAGATATAATTATATATACAACAAATCTTAACATTACTTATTTTAATATTTTTCTGAATATGAATGACTTTAATATTCACATCATTTTGTATATCTAGATATACCCTGGTATTCTAGCATGTTTTACTCTATACTTAAATTCTCCCATTTTTGGATGAGCATGAATTTTTCTTTTTTGTTGTTGTGAGCATGATTATCTCCCTTGTCTTAATATTTTTGTCGAGCCTTCGACTTTTGTCGAAAAAGCGAGACATAGCGATCCTACATTCCGTCGGCGTCGTCGTCGTCGTCGTCGTCGTCGTTGTCGTCGGCGGCGTCCACAAATATTCACTCTGTGGTTAAAGTTTTTGAAATTTTAATAACTTTCGTAAACTATCCTGGATTTCTACCAAACTTGGACAGAAGCTTGTTTATGTTCATAATATTAAATTCAAAAGTAAATTTTGAAAAAAAAAAATTCCATTTTTTCTGTATTTTACTTATAAATGGACTTAGTTTTTCTGCCAGGAAACATTACATTCACTCTGTGGTTAAAGTTTTTGAAATTTTAATAACTTTCTTAAACTATCCTGGATTTCTACCAAACTTGGAAAGAAGCTTGTTCATGATCATAAGATAGTATCCAGAAGTAAATTTTGTAAAAAAAAAAATCCATTTTTTCCGTATTTTACTTATAAATGGACTTAGTTTTTCTGCCAGGAAACATTACATTCACTCTGTGGTTAAAGTTTTTAAAATTTTAATAACTTTCTTAAACTATCCTGGATTTCTACCAAACTTGGAAAGAAGCTTGTTTATGATCATAAGATAGTATCCAGAAGTAAATTTTGTAAAAAAAAAAATTCCATTTTTTCCGTATTTTACTTATAAATGGACTTAGATTTTCTGCCAGTTAACATTACATTCACTCTGTGGTTAAAGTTTTTAAAATTTTAACAACTTTCTTAAACTATCCTGGATTTGTACCACACTTGGACAGAAGCTTGTTTATGATCAAAAGCTAGTATCTAGAAGGAAATTTTGATAAAATTTTGTTCCATTTTTTCCGTATTTTACTTATAAATGGACTTAGTTTTTCTTCCAGTCAACATTACATACAGTCTGCAGTTTAAGTATTTAAAACATTTATTAGATTCATAAATTATCCTGGATTTTTACCAAACTTGGACAGAAGCTACTTACAATCAAAAGATAGTATAGAGAGGAATATTCTTATTTATTTTTTTCCACATTTTTGTTGAGCCTGCGAATAACAGTAAAAGTAGGCGAGACACTGGGTTCCGCGGAACCCTTACGAATTTTTTCTTTATTGGATTGTTGGTATAGAGAAATACTCTGCCATTTCACAAAAAAATATCATTTGTAAAATTAGTTTTCACAAACATGCTTGAGTTACATTTAAACCAAATCTGTATTGGTAACAGTATAAATATCTGTATCAAGGACTTAATATTTTCTATATACATTTGTACATGTATTCTTATTACCTTTTAATTAGTACGTAGACAGAATTTATAATTTTTGTGCAGTTTTTAGGTTGTATTATTTCCCTTTAAAGCTATTTTTTATGAGCTTAATTAAGAGGGAAAATTACACCTTTGGGAAACTGTCATTGAAAAACTGTTTGTTCAATTTACTGAATAACATTTAAGTTTAATTCCCATGGACTATATAACACAGGATGTTTTGTTTCTGTCAGGTTTTAATTCTAATTTTTAACAAAATACTGTATCAAATAAAAATTTCAAAATTGCAGTTCAAATAATGCAAAATATTACCATTTAATTTTTTTTTTGAAAAATGTTCTTCAATTTATCACAAATTTGTGTTAATGCTCCGTCATAATATTTGAATGCTTTTCTATCTATCAAGGTTAACTGGAAAATACTTTCCATATTCTTATTTTAAAATCATAGAATTTTTCAGTCGTATTGATTAAATAATTTTATTGTTTTATGTCTGTGTCATATTTATGAATTTTAATCTTGTAGCAGCGTCAAGAGATAGCTGCTCCACGTCCAAAACATATCAACGTTGTAGAGGAAGATCGATTTAGTCTGAGACCTATCGGTCCTGGCATGCAACCATTGGAACCAGAAGGCATACAAACTGGAACCCTGCCAAGATCTACCACACCTAGCTTCCCAGTTAGCCCTGTGTCAACTGCAGGTATGTTTCATTGTAAACAAAAGATTATTTATCATTAAAACAATATATGGTATGAGGCAACAAAAACACACACATAACAGTCCTAAAGTGATAGATAATTTTACGTTGCTATGATTACTTTTTTTTTAAATTTTGTTTATGAATTTCATTTTAATATATATCTGCAGGATATCAATTTTATAGGAAACACATTCATTTATTTAAGTTTATTTAGTTTTGTTTGAATTAGGTCATCTTACAATGTACATCTAGGAAAACTTTTATTGCTAGATTTAAGGAAATTTATATAATTTTTTATTTAATTGGCCCTTTAAATAATTTTAAAAAGGCTAGAGTTTTTGCATTTATAGAAATTTTCAGTTTAGTAGGAATTTTATGTTATATAAAATTTCAGACATTTTTGATAAATTAGATGATTGTAAGTAGCCAAGTATGATTTTGTTATTTTTGTTACGTTTTTAGTTGGGTTTTGGAAATTTTGCTTTGCACAAGGGGCACGTAACTTTTTAACAGATTGCTTTTTTTGGTTTTGTTCGAATTAGAAATTAGTTGCCATGGAAAATAACAAAACTCAAATTAACAATTAATTTATCAGAAATTTTTTTGCTTCTTATTTTTGTGGGAAGATAAGATCTGTTAGATAGACTAAAAAATTGATTTAAAGGAAATTCATAAATTACTAATTATTTCATTCGGCCAATTTTTAAAAAACACTTTCAGTCTTTAGGACAATTAAGCTGTGAAGAACAATTTATCTAATAACATCCAAAAATGTTGGATGAAATAAAAAAGAGCATATTTAACCTTTCAAAAACTTTTGAATTTTATCATATTATAAAAAAGGTCAGAATATAATCATTAGATTTATTAGGTTAACTGAAGCATTGGATTTTGATGAAAAGTTATCTTTTCAAAGAATGATGAATGTAAATATTACTAAATAAAAAAAAGATAGTTAAGAAAAGATAAAACTGCATAATGAAAGGATTATATTAAAGTGTTTTAAATATTTTTTTAAGCATAGGTTACATTTACTTTTTGTCTGATATCCAAATTAAAAATAGGTTAAAGATAAAAGATAAATATTTGCCGATTTCTTTATAAATGATATTTGTTTATATTTGGCGCTAACAGAGCAAGTTATACAGTCTGTACATCAGAAAGTCCGGCGTCTGTCGCTGGGATCAGTAAGAGATCTGCATGGTAAATAACAGATGTTGTCCTTAACCTTTTTTTTGCCTTATTTTATCAGAATTTCAGTCATAGACTTGCATGTAAATGTTGTCTTCATACTGTAGTTTGTATTTCAAAAACAAGTCTTCAATGTTTACTGTGTAAATTTTTGCATGCCTGTTTTTTTTCCACAAATCCAGTGATTTTATTTATATTTTATTGGAATTGAAATTAAATATTTGATATTTTTTTTTTAGTTTAATAAATGTGTTTTAGTTTTTTCTCAGTTTTAATCAACATCCATTAATTGTATTTACAAAATAAAACTATGGACTAAGGGAGACAATCTAAGTAAAAATTGAAAAAATGAGCATACATACCTCATATTTGCATGATCATTTAGTCTTAGTGATGTATACACACCAAAAAAAACATGAATGTTGCATGTATGAAGACTTTTATACCTTAAGACAATTTCCCTTTAAACAGAAACTACAAATTATGTCTTTCTTTTTGAATGAAGAACTCTTTAACCTTACATTCTGAAATTTTCCCTGAAAGACTGAATATCTTTTCCTTTGTGAAATATGCAGATAAAAAACTGTCCATAGGTAAAATTTTACTAAACAAAGATGTAGAAAAGTATTCCATGTATTTTATTGAACAAGTTCATTATAAAATTTTAAAAAAAAACGAGGAATTTAATTATAGTTTAGAAGATTGATGATATACGGTCTTTCTATGCTGTTTATTTAAGAAACTGATACAGTCGCTACAGAAAATAAGAAATTGTATGGACAGTTTTTTTTTTGAGTTGTAACGGTTACACGTCTATTTAATATGTGAAGTTGGTTTTTTTAAATGATTGAGAGTAACAAGAGCACTGTAAATTAAAGATTAAAGAAAACTGTTGAATAAAAATATCAATTTCAACTGTTGCTTGCATTTGTTAATTCTATGCTCACTTTTGGCTAATACTCATGTCACATGATATTGTCACTTGCTTTTACATTATTTGAAAACACACTTTTCAAGTACTATTACTTACAACAGATGTCCTACACTATAAAAAGTTGACCTGTCTTAACTTTAACCTCTTGGCCCTAAAGATATTTTTAGGCTGAAACAGATGCTGAGTTTGCACACAGGTTACTTTATCACTTTCAACAGGTTGCCTTGGATGGCCAGTCAATGTCAATGTTCTGTTTCAACATGTTTAGCCATATATATCTTATATGTTAGATAAAGAAAATAAAAGACATTTTATTTTGCAGTAGTCAGCATGCAAGTAATACTTGTGATTAAATATCATCTATTAACTTTGTATAGTTTCAAAAGTTTCAAAATGGTGTAATCTGTCAGAATAACTTAAGGGGTGTTTAAAAAACCTAAACTATCGGTGAGAGCCAAAAACACAACCTTGACTACATTATAATCAGGGCCTCTGATGGTCATTCAAAACTCTTAAAATCAAAGCAAACGATACCAAAGGGATATTCAAACTCATAAGTCGCCAACAGGCTGACAATGCCATGGCAAAATATGAAAAACATTAAAAAGACAAACGGTATACAAAACACAACACAGAAAAATAAAGACTGAGCAACATGAACCCCATCAGAAACTCGGGCTGATCTCAGGTGCTCCGGAGGGTAGGCAAATCCTTAATTGATGAAATAATTTTAAAAAATTACTAGTTCTACATATATATACAGGGATAACTTTACTAAAATTGAGAGGTTTGGGTAACCATTTTACCCTGGGTTGTTAATGTCTTTTGACCCAAAAGTATAATCAGGATTAGCCAAATGAATAAGCCATAGTCTTGGGCAAGGTAATTACAATAACGTTTTCTCAATATTTATGATATTTTATTTGAGAGTAGTAAAGATTGCATCATTTTGAAACTATATAAATGAATGATCATTGGTTGAAAATGAATATGTTGAACAACACCAACCATATATACCTCACTTGAATATCAAGAATTGTTTAAATGGAAAAGAGTTTATATTTATCATAAAGCTGAAAACCACACTTAAGTCAAAATGTCATTGATACATTACAAATAGTCTTGTCCTCAATTTGAAAAAAAAGTATAGAATTGTAAAAATTGATGCTTAAATTTAAGCTAAGGTATATATGGTATGGAATTGATACATATAATTATTAATGTTTTAAACTCCTTGTTGGTCATATAGATTTCATTGAATGATTGTGTATGGTTTAAAACTTGCAGTAAAAGTGCATTTAATTTATTCATTTTAAATGTTTCATGTTATTTTATTTGTTAATTATGATTAATAGTTTAACATGCTTTAAAAAAAATTCAAAAGATTAAACTCTTCAACTTTATAGTATTTCACACCAAATTAAATAACTGGAAAATTTTAGAGAGTTTTTAAAAAGATTATTTTTTAACTGTGACTATTGTTAGAAATTGAGAAATATCTTTAACGGGGTAAATTTATAAGAAATACATTTGTTGTAGTTGCAAGTGAAAGGAAACATCTCTATATGGCAAATATGTTAACATGATTTGTAAATAGACTGACTTTCTTGGGACAAAAAAAAAGATTTTGATACAGGAAATATTTTCTCTGATCATATAAAGTATTAAAAGTTTATGTGCACATTTACTGCAAGTTAACAGTGTTGCAACAAGGATGCATATTACCTCCTGGATTGTTTTTGATGTTTTGTAATGACATGTGTATTTTATTTTGTTTTGCCTGCGGTTGTAGTTACTCCACCATTTCCAATTACTCCAAGATCACCATACAATACAATGCAAGGTAAATATTATCCTCATTACTTCATCTCTCACATTACAATTTTACATGTATTTAGTTAAAACCTGTTTTGATGGGGATTGTTTCCCTTTTTTTTTTACATATTTGAACAGACATAAACTGGTATAGAAATGTACTGCGGATAAATTGTAAATCATGGAATGCTAATTTTCATGGATTCGTGGATATTGGTGAACCACAATTTTAAAGTGATATAGAAAATACAAATATACTGTAGGCTACTTCATCAACATTGTCAAAACTAATGAATTGAGTATTCATGAAAATAGAAGTATTCCATGATCCAGAAAAATTTGTACCCATGAAAATAAAAAGTTTGCTGTATATGATAAAATTTAGCTTTTTTTTTGGGGGGGGTCAATTTTTTTATCTGTTCTTGATTTGTCTTTGGTGAGACTTTAAAATGTATCACCATGTAAGAAAAACAATTGGGAAAATGTTTTATTTGGATTATTCATGGTTGCAGGGGATACATTGAATATCTTAAATGAAGATTATTTAAATCAACATTATTAATATGACTTGACCACAATTTTATGTTTTATGTGTTTTTGTGTTTTGTTTGTTTGCTAGTAGAATTTAGTCCTTCACAGCACTCTTTAACTTTATTTTGACTCTATTCTAACTTAACTTGCATGTACTGTTTTCTTTCACAGTGTGAGCATGTCTGGTTTCTCAGTGTTGTTGTTACCTTGGTTACTAATCAAATACAATTCCAGGTCTCTTGAAAAAGTATAATTTTACATTTTGATAACATTTCTTAAATACATTTTGATAATAATTAAATTTTTGTTTTGGATTTTTATACAAAATTTAAAGAAATATATTTTTATTAAAATATAAATAAATTCCAGGGTAGCAGCAGGTTTATTTGTGTTTATCTTTTGTTTCATTATAAGTTTCATGCTTTCATCCTCATTTTGTCATTATTTTTTATTTTAATTTAATTTTATTTTGATTTTTTTTTGTCAGATATTTTATACATTTTATTTTAGAAACATCACATTTTAATCTTTCAACATTAATTAGAAAAGTTCAAACATAATGTATAGCCATAATATTATACATACAAAACACAGGTTGATTCAAAATAATCTATAGAAATTGCATGTTTTGGTAAATGTAGGCTATATTGAGGATGAAAATGAAAAAAAAATTAGGTACAATTTTTAGTACATTAGATGCACTTAAAAACAGGCCATCTAACAGATTGCAAGCAGCTTTTCTATGTTACAACACAAATGAAACAATTTCCAGAAAGTGGAAAAGTGGGCATGGTCTTCAAAATATAAACAATTTTAACACCTTAAAAAATGGGCTTTTTTCAAAGTTGGCTGTACAAAAAATAACAGTTAAGTGTCAATCTTAACACTTATTTTAACATGTGCATCTTGCTTTTTGTCATGTGACTGAATAGCTTCCATGCCTAGTTTGTCACCTACAACGCCACCTGTATTTGATAAAGACGAGCATTACAATCGCATTGTGAGCCGACAGATCGCACGATCTACGTCGGATCGAACTTCAGATCCACTTTATGCCTCCATACCTGAGGATCTAGCTAGAAGGCAGAAGTCAGGTAGATTTAACATAGACAAGCAAAAAATAGTCAGAAAATTGAGGAAACTTGTAATGGCCACTAGTTTGCTCAAACTTTAACTCAATATTTTGACTTAAGAAATGTGGCGGAATTATTGCCAGGGTTTTCTGATGAAATAACTTAACGAAAAAAACAACTGTGACTTTTAAAAGATTCAAGTTACTTTTGGAAAATGTCTTTATGATATATCAGGCAAGTGTTTATTTTTTCCTTCAGAATTTAGCAGTTTCAGGCATATTGCAAGTTTTCTTCTGCAAAAACGGTTTTCTCTTGAGAATTGCTTTTGCCATTGTAGGTAATCAGATTAGCTTTTAGTTGCAAATAACAAAGCTTTTAAAACTTTTCACACTAGAAGTTCCGTGCATTGTATAAACAAAAGTATTAATGACTGCTGCTGCAGATCTAAAAAAAAATAAATAAAAAACAAAAGCTTTGAAAATCAGCATGGGTTTATGGTTTATGCATGACACCTGAAAAAAATCTAAGCATGTGATTGCATTGCAAAATCTCACAAATCTGTATCAGCTTAGTGATGTCTTCTAATCTCACACTGGTAAACTATGGTGATTGGGCTGTATCCCTCTAACTCAATCAAGCACCAATGAATACTACACAGAAATCTGGAAATAAAAGAAGAGGAAGAAAAAAGAAGTTCCCACAATGATAAATTAAATTTCTGTAGTTGATCTGCATTCAACAAAGTTATGTATTAAAACTTTTGCATGGTCAATATGTGTATATTTTTATATGTAATATCTTGGGTCGGTTTCAGCATCTTACATGGAATAGTCTTTGCATCAAGCATTTATAAGAAAGAATGGTTTATTTTATAACTATAAATTGCATAACATTGAACTATGGGTTCAATTGGTTTTTTTCCAGTTTCAAGAAGTTTTCAATTGATCTATTTTTAATGTTCAAATTTGACAGATTATTTGAATCCACATTGAATTTGGTAAGTTGGTGAATATAGTTGCGGTAGGCATGTGGAATAGATTCAAGACTCTTGACTTCCTAACATTGACACAAGACCCATTTAATTTCAGTAAAATCTCTGGTTGTTCCAGGAAGCATGGTTTTAACTTCAAATGCAAACCAATAGCAAGATTTCCATTTTTCATTTTCTTGTTTCTATAGCAACCCATCAACAGAATCATCAACAACACCAGCAGCAGCAGCAGACACAGCAACAGACAGAGCATCGTGAGTACAAATACCAGACTCAACAGAATTACAACTACAACCAGCAACCAGGTCAACAATTTGTCACTGGTTCCCAGCAGAATGTTAATATGATTGAAGGAATGCCACCTCAGAATATACCAATTCAACATCAACAAGGTAAAGAGTTTTCTTTCTTTGTTGCAGAATATGTTTCATAAATCTTTTGAAAGTCATGGACCTCTTTGATAAAAAAAAAATCAAAAAGAACAGGTGCATTCTAATTTTTTGGGGAACTTTTTTCAAAAAGTGTTGAAAACACAAATATTGAATTGTTCAAATGTGAAATTGACATGTAATTTTAACCTGGAATGCATTAGTGATCAAGTTGGATGTATTATAATAAAAAGGAAATTAATTTGTCTTTTATTTGCAAGAAATTAGCACAAATCAGTAAAGTTTAAGTTATTGTTGTCTCTTGTCTAGAAGAATTAAGTTCTATTGATTTATATTTTATTAATATTCCATTTCTTATTTTTAGGTGGTTCTCAGTTCAACACTATGAGTTCAACACAGGGCTCAGTTCCCTCTCCACAAGGTTTCAATACATTAGGTTCCAACCAATCATATCGCACGGAATCACATGACAAATACCATACAATGGGTTCCACCGGTTCACAGGATAGGTTCGGAACAATGGGTTCACAGCCAGATAGGTTTGCAACATTGGGTTCACAGCAAGAAAGGTTCGGCACAGTGGGTTCACAGCAAGATAGGTTTGGCACAACAGGTTCACAAAACTTCAGTACTATGAGCTCAGGACATCAACAACAGTTTGGTACCATGGGTTCACAGCAGAATGGAACACTCCATGTTGATACAAGACAAGGACATATGCACAGTGGATCCTCTTCTGCAGGAAGGTAAGAAAAGTGTGATGTTCTTCAAATATTTCCATTTTTTTAGGTAACCAGAATAATTCAGTGTTATATTGTGATGCTGCACGATGAATGCCTGAATGTCTAGTCAAAGAAAATTGTCAATCAATACTCAAGGATTTAGCTCTTGATTAACCTTTTATAAAATTGAATCTGGAGTAAGGGACATAACAAGTTATCTACCTTAATCAAGAATCAAATGTTACAAATTCACTGCTACCTGTTGATCAGGCCAGAGACCACAATTAATGACCCCGCTTCTCATTGTCCACGAATATAGTTCCCTTTAATTAAAGTGTATTTTTTCTTTATTTTTTTCTTTCCCTTTCTCATTCATTTCTTAGTTTTTATGGGGTGGAAATAAAAGAAGAGAGCTGAAATAAATTTTTTGATGTTTTATTTTAACTGATTTTGATATGGAAAGAGTGATTAGGCCATGTGCAAAAAGGTAATATTTACAGTTTTTGAAACATCTCTTGACTTTTCCATAGGGGTATGCATGTGTATTGGCTAAATTTGTAAAATGTAAAAGTGCAATCTTTCTGAATGTTGGATATATATTTGGACTAGTACTGTACATTACACACACGAAAGATTTGACAAAAAGATCAGGTGCAATTTTTTTAATGAGACAAAACGTTATAAAGAACTAATAGAGGAATTTAATTGTGGTCTGTGGCCAACGGTTGTTTAATTGACCTCTTTGTTTTGTGTTCCACATTTGTTGTCTATAATGCTTAATTATGTTGTTCAAAAGCCTTGAAGACAATTACATCATGGGAAAGAGGTAGAAAAAATGTCCCCTGAATTTATTCACACCATGGCCATGTTCTAAAAGCCATTCAATCTTTTCTAAAATTTGCAGTATGTGCACTCAGAGGTTTGAATCACATTTTGGTGTATTTAATCAATGATGTGACCAAATAAAAAATACCTAACAATGGCTCAAAACTGCAATTTTGACAGATAAATGTATATTAAAAGGATATCCTAAACCAAAACCAGAATTCAGTGGGAGGAAGAGCTATATATTGTTCTTCAAATACAAACCATACGTAAAATTTGCAATATTGTCTCAACAATATGCAGCACTGAAAAACAATTTTATTTAATTGAAAATGAGATTACTATAATCTCAGATTTAGATAATTTAAAATTGTCAATAATTTGTTTGAGAATAATATTCAAATACTAGTAGGTTTAGACAATGATTATGTTTAATATTCAAATACTAGTAGGTTTAGACAATGATTATGTTTAATATTCAAATACTAGTAAGTTAAGACAATGATTATGTTTAATATTCAAATACTAGTAGGTTTAGACAATGATTGTGTTTAATATTCAAATACTAGTAGGTTTAGACAATGATTATGTTTAATATTCAAATACTAGTAGGTTTAGACAATGATTATGTTTAATATTCAAATACTAGTAGGTTTAGACAATGATTATGTTTAATATTCAAATACTAGTAGGTTTAGACAATGATTATGTTTAATATTCAAATACTAGTAGGTTGATATGCTTAGATTTTAATCATGTGAGTGAAACAAATACAGGGGAAATTGGCCCTACCTCTCTAAATACTTTTTAAATAAAATGTAAGTTAGGATTTTTCTATTTTAAATGGCATATTGAATAGGGTACTAAATTTTACTGTTTGGTTATTTAATTAAACTTCCAAAATATAGTTTCAAAATATTATCATAAACTCCTTCAGAAAATGCAATGTGATCTAGCGGCTTGGATTACAATAGATGTTATGAATAATGAAATGAAGAAAAAAATTCTGATATATTATAAGATGTTGCCTAAAAGATGCCTCAATGAAAATGTATTTAAAATTGAAATGTAAAGTGTATTCAATTACATGTTTACAAAGTGACTTCAAAGAACTTTTTTGATAATGTTTGAATAAGAATTAATATATTAGTTTCAAGATGATATGATATAGTTATGCATTTCTTTCATATATGATATTTCTTTTTATAACATGTGGCCCCTCAAAATGAGAAAAGAAGTTTTTGTGTGGGAAAGGAATGTTCATTAATTGAACAAATTTCTGAATTAATTTTTTCAAACAGTAATCGAGAAGTAATTCTCTTTTAATGAATTGAATTTTAGCAAAGGTGTGTTTTCTTGTACGAATCCATTTAAAGAAGAACCCTTATACCCAGTAATTTAAATTGAAAAATATATGTTATATAAAGATTCTACCGTGTCGCCACATCGCTGATTACGGTATTATCCATTCAAGATAGTTTAATTTTCAAACTTTAAATGCACAGTTTATACCAAGCATTTGAAAATTTGAAAATTTAACTATGGAGAGTGGATAAATTTTGTAGTGGACAGGGTAAGGTGGTAGATTCTTTTATGGTAATTGGAAAATGCTGATTGTAATGTTCCGAATGGATATCGATTATTATAGGGGGAAATTACACACGACAAATTGCAATGTTTCGAATGGATATAGATTATTATAGGGCGAAATTACATACGACAAATTGAATCAATGTGTGCTTTACTAAACTTAAGTCAGAACCATTATAAATGCATACAGAATTAGAGAAATATTCAGAATAGTACTATGTGTATAAACCTGAGGATTCTGCAGTGAGTTGAAGTTAAGAGAAAAAGGGGAATATAAATTGTTTTGAAATAGTTGTTATAATAAAGGTTTTAATCAACACAATTATAAGTTTCGAAATTGAATGCAAAATTGCAGGACAAAAAAGAATTAAACTTAAGTTTTGATTTAGAAAAAAATTACAAAAAAGGGTTGCCAAGGAAAGACTCTTTAAAAAAAAAGGTCCAGGAAACATCCCATTAAACTTAAAGTTTTAGACTTTGTTTTGTACTTTTACCGTTTTGATCATATTGTTTCCATTGTAATAAAGTAAATACACAATATTTATTGTCATCGATTCTTATTTAAGCTTTAAAATAGGATAGAAAAAAAAGACAATTGATCTGAAGTAAACAAGATCTGTTTCATATTGTTACTGAATGAAAATTTGTAATCTGTATTCTTTGTACTATCTATCTATATAAATCACAAATACCTATACACAAAAGGTAAAATAAACATCAAACACATGTACAAATGATCGTTATCTAAAGCCTTTGTAGTCTGTGGCTAATCCATCAGATATATTACACAGTCTGAGAGGTGTAATACATCTTAAGTAAATAAACATTCACTTCTTACATGTACACGTGATGTTTAGAGGCAATAAGTGATTATAACTTGCTGTCAGCTCCACATGGTATTTGTATTTTATCAAAAAGACATCCTGTGACCTTTGACATATCTGAAAACAACAATATTACCTGGGGGATTAAGGTAGCGTTTAAAGAGTCAAGTGGTATTTTGATAGTAACTGAGGATGTTTACAGTTTACCAGGGGGCATAATCGTAATCTAGATTTCTCGACATGTGACATAGAGATTGCGCTATAAAATAATAATACTGGATGTTAAATCTTCATAAGGTAAATGGGAATTATTTTGTTTATAACATTGCACAATTTGAAAAAAAAAATTCCAACTTATTTAAAAATTATTTGACATAACTTTTTCAACTTTAAAAATTTAAATATTGTTTTCATGTTTAATGATCTATGTTTACATTAAAGATATTTGAATTTAAAGACCAGTGTTGAACTATTCGGGACCATATATTCTATTTTAAATATTATGATCTTAATGTATAGTATTGTTCAAATATTTGCCTCTAGGCTCTGGCATATACAGTTGTTAGGAGAAATGTTAGTAGAGCAATAATTTATAATTTATTCATCTAAACCTTTCACATGATTTTAAATCATTTTGAAAGACTTTTTCTGAATTTGTTTTTGTTGATTTTTTTTTTGTTTACACATTATTCAATAACAAGTACGTGTGTTGGTGCTGGTCGTAGGGGCGGGGGTGAAAACAACCACCCCTTTTATGACATTTTTTAAATTTTATATAAATTAGAAAAAATCTTAACCCTTACAACTGTAATGTATTTCTTTTTAAGTGTCTCAAAAAGCAAATTCCATTCAGTAAATCCACCCACAAGCAGTCTTTCAGTACAACATCGTACATGAAAAATTTCTGCTGTAGAAGTACATTTTAAAGGATCAAATGAAAAGACAGGATGTTCTTAACAATTTGTTCAAGGTCTCCACTTCAACTTAAGTACAATTTTCTTCTTCTTATAATGTAGCACAGAAATACTATGCTTTTTCTTTGAAGTACTGTGAATTCATTTAATTGATGTGGATGTAACTAAGTTTGGTGGATTGAGGAAAAATTGTTTATTTGTGGATATTTGATTTCGTGGTTATTCCAAAGTCTTCATACAAGCCTATAGAAAATTTGTACTTCAGTATACATTTAAATTCATGGTTTTCCTATACCCTCAAGGATTGGTAGCCACAGAGTAATAATGAATCTACAGTACTGGTTATTTCCTAGTTGTTTTTTTTTTGTTCTTTTTGGTCCTTCGAGTCTCATGTACATACATCCATCCCAAAAACTCTCTTTCCCAGTGTACTACTTTTAGGGTCTTGTGGTAAAAATTGCTAATGGTGGTGCTTGCCTTGAATTCAAGAGATTTAGATTTGATCTAAGACAAGGTGAAACCAAAGACATGCTCTGTATGTTAGTCTAGTCCAAAGTAGGTTTTAATAAATCATATGCCATCTCTTCCTCAGATATGCATGTAATATTTGCCACTGGACAATACACATCTATTTTTCTTTCCCAGGACATAATGGAATACAATTTTTGCAGTGTTGCATTTTCAGGTTAATTTATTCCTACTCTATGATAATCATGCTTGTTCCATGTCTTTGAATGACCTGAATGAGAGATATTATAATTAATTTGCCAGTTTGTCAACGTGCAACTGTCAATTTACTTGAAGTTATTAGTCATAGCTACATATACTGTGTATATTGTTATAAGCAGAATATAGATTTAGGAACAGCTGG